CCTATAGGTGAAGTGTGTTTCTACTTTCTACAATGCTCATTATTGAAGAAAACGTGATCAGTATCACACTTGCCTTTGCCCGAAATGATATCAAGATCAATTAGTGTCTCCTATTCAATTCGACACCAACACATTTTGTGAATTTGACCAACTTTTTGGTCATACCAGTATTTCACTTGTATTCCCATTGAGTTTTGTTCTCAAGTGGTCTTGTGACATCATACAAAAACTTTGAACACCATGCAAAGAGCTTCATTGACCAGCAATTCGAGCAGAAGCCACAGGAGATGAAGAATGTGTTGTCAAATGTTTTATGAACCAGTGATTATGGTGTTGAACCAAAGTTGTTATCATATGGTTTTCCTTTATTGATACAAGATGAAGTCTTTCTTCTTCAACCCCAAGATTAGAAATGAGATACGATGAAGATTTCTTACCACAGAAGGAGAACTGAAATTTTAAACAAGAAACTAGTGGTGCCAACTAAGGTTGAACTACAGGTTGTTGTTAAGCATCTCGACATGATATGGTCCAAGTTGCCTTATTCGAGATCTTATTATATGTGGAGACATGAAAGGAATTGGGATAAATCTTCCTTGTGATGTGTTTCAAGATTTAAATTAGAACAGACTCTACTCTCCTAATTAATCCCTGTTGAGTCAGGCATATCTACATCTACACTCTTCAAAGATGATAGATTCTCTTTCAAATATGATAGATTCTCTTTTTAAAGATGATAGATTCTCTTTTCAAAGATGAAAGCTTTATTGGATTTCTACACAAGTCCAGACAAAGAAAACCGATGTTACCAAAGACAAAATGGGGCATCAAAGTCATAGTTCTGACTACGACAAGAGTTTCACAAATGAAACATTTCTTCTGAGACTTTCATGAAGCAAAGAAGACACAAAGATACAAGTTGATTAAATGATTCTGCAGAAATGCAATCTTGATAGCATAAGTTTCTACACTGATATCCAGAATTAACCCTGGCAATAAATGATGAAGTGAAGGAAGACCTAGTTCACCACTTTGAAGTCAAATGAAGATTGCATCAACATTCACACATTCATAAGAATATCATTTACACAATAGACAATGCATTACATTGATACATATGATTGCATTCAAACACAAGGTTTTGTAGATCTTCAAATGAAAAAGAAGATTCATGATGAACAATACCTTACAAGAAGAAGATAGAATTCAAAACCTCGAATACAAGAATCACGCCAACATATGAAGAATAGATGGACGCAATCCACAAGAATGAACATTATCTTGAGATTGGGTCATGTTACCCAATCAACATGTTATTTTGAAACATAATGAGAAAACGATTTACATAGTTTCTCATTCAATCTTTTCTAAAAATAAAATTGTTGAAAAGTAAGAAAACGATTTTCATAGTTTCTTACTTAGTAAACTATTTCCCACATCTGTAAGTCCTACAGTGCATGATGTTTCCAAAAAGCCTTCGGGAGCTTTTTGATGTTTTCAAAGCCTTAGGGTCATCTGTAAGTCCTACAGTGCATGATGTTTCCAAAAAGCCTTCGGGAGCTTTTTGATGTTTTCAAAACCTTAGGGTCATCTGTAAGTCCTACAGTGCATGATGTTTCCAAAAAGCCTTCGGGAGCTTTTTGATGTTTTCAAAGCTTTAGGGTCATCTGTAAGTCCTACAGTGCATGATGTTTCCAAAAAGCCTTTGGGAGCTTTTTGATGTTTTCAAAACCTTCGGGTCATAAGCATTTCCAGAAGAGTTCATAATGAGAATAACTCATCTGAAGAAGGAAGAAGAAGTTCATAATGAGAAGAACTTGTTTAACCTTTTGCTTGAATTCAACATTCGATGGATCAACATTACCAGGTAGAGTTCATAATGAGAAGAACTCATCTGAAGAAGGAAGAAGAAGTTCATAATGAGAGAACTTATTCAACCTTTCGCTTGAATTCATCATTCGATGGATCAGCATTACGAGGTAGAGTTCATAATAAGAAGAACTCATCTGAAGAGAAGAAGAAGTTCATAATGAGAAGAACTTATTCAACCTTTCGCTTGAATTCATCATTCGATGGATCAGCATTACCAGGTAGAGTTCATAATAAGAAGAACTCATCTGAAGAGAAGAAGTTCATAATGAGAAGAATTATTCAACTTTTTGCTCGATTTCATCATTCGATGGATCAGTATTGCCAGGTAGAGTTCATAATAAGAAGAACTCATCTGAAGAGGAGAAGAAGTTCATAATGAGAATAATTTGTTCAGCCTTTTGTATGACTCTATCACGGAAGGAGATAGATCAGCATCAACATTTCCAGAAGTGTTCATAATGAGAAGAACTCATCTGAAGAAGGAGAATAATTTATTCAAACTTTTGCTACACTACATCGCAGAATGAGATGAATTGTCATCCCCAGTGGAAAAATTCATAATAAGAAGAACTAATCCCAGAGGAAAACTTGTTCAACATTACCATCTTAATCAGGAGAAGTCAATTGAACAAAAATTTATTGTCTTTTCGTCTTTGCTATATTCTTGTTAACACAAGAATGAGCAAAGAGGGGCAGCTGTAGACACTAAATTTTTGTCTCGGTTTTATTTATATTATTATTTATATTACATTATTATTTATTATATATCTTTATTATTAATATTATTATTATTACAAACAGGCCCAGATTACACAACCTAAATACTATTACAGACCCAACAGTGACTGGCCCGAACAGATGGCCCAAACCTACCAAAAACCCTAAAACCCAACTAGGGTTTCCATCTAAGCTTTCAGCCGCCTCCCCTTGTCAATTATTGGATCTAACTTAGATCCAACGGTCTAGATGATCCCAGCAACAAACCCTAGGGTATCATCACCCTAGGGCCACGCGGCCGTCGCCACCTCCAAGAGCATTCCAACCGCCCCACGTCTATACCTCCACTGCCATATGCCATGCCTCCACGCTGCTACCCGCGTCGAAGGCTCCAGAAGACCCAGATGGCCACCAACGTTGCTGCTCTAGGGGTGAGTCACCACATAGTTCGGTGACTCACCGAGAAATCCCTTTGGGATCGGTCCAATGAGAGCCTCATCAAAGCTATAAAGCCTTGGCTCACGTGCAAACAAAGAGGAGGGAGAGGAAGATAACCAAGATACAGAGAACAGAGAAGCAATGAGAACACAGCAAACATCAACAATCGAAAATAAAAACAGAGAAGAGAATAACTTACCCCCGAGATACCAAACGTCACCGGAAACTTTTGTAAACCGAGGTAAACCTTCGATTTTTGTTTAGAACTACGTCTATTGAAAGAGTTTTAGGAGAAAAGAAACTAGATTTGGGTTAAGGGGAAACAGAGGATTGATTTAGGCTATTTTTCCAAACTATGGCCACCGTGAATGGTGGCCGGAGGCGGGAATCAGAGCCGGAGCATGGTGGCCGTCCGGTGGCCTTATCCCTCCGGTGAGGGAATTTGTAGAGAGAAGGCAGAGCTTCTCTCTCTTTAGAGAGAGAAGTATAACAAGGAAAAGAGGGAGACCGACCATTTTAGGCCAGTTTTTGGGCTTAAAAACCCCTCCCCGAACGACGTCGTTTTGGGGGAGGGGTCTGTGTGTAATTTGGTAAAGGGTAAACCCTTTCCACAGTCAGTAGAATTTGTAGTCTAATCATTTTAGTCACTGAAATCAGTTTATGTGCCTTTTATTTTCGACTTTCAATTATACTTTATTATATTTTAGTCACTGCACCGTAGTTATATATATTTAGGTTAAATATTATGATTAGTCCCTCATAATTTAGTTAATATTTATTATAATCACCTATTAATAAATAAGGGCTAATTACATTACTAGTAGCTATATTTTTATGATTCGAATTATGTCCCTAAATTTTGATATTTTGCATTTTGTTTCTGTTATTTTTAATTTTATTTATTTTAGTCACTAATTATTTGCAATTTATTTTTTTATTATCTTTTTGATTTCAATAAGTTTAAATTATTACTTTAATTATTGTGTTATTATTATTTAGTCATAAATATATAATAAATAATATTTATTTATTTATTTTATTTGTTTTCTATTAAAATCCTATATATGAATTTAAATTTTATAAATTACTATTAAGAAAAATGTTTATTTATTTTTCAATATTAAGAAGGGGCAGTCTTAAAGCAACTTGATGTCCGTTTTCTGGTATTTTTAAATAAATAAATATTTTAAATTATTATTTTTAGATAAATATTTTATTAATATTTATTTATTTTTTAGTATGCCCTTTTCTGATATTTCTAAGTAAATAAATATCTTATTTATAAAAGATATATATATTAATATATTTTTAAATTTCAAATAACAATATTATAAATTAAATATATCTTTAAATTTTTAAATTTCTAAAATAGAGACAAATTATAATTAATAAGTACCAATTTTAGGCGTTGTGGGGGTGCTAATCCTTCCCCAAACGTTATCGACCACGAATCCCTTTTTATTATTAAAAAGAACGAATCTTTGGTTAAAAAGCAGATCAGTTTATCTTTTAACTGATGTTTTCTTAAAAACTCTTTTAAAAGATAATTTTTAGGTATTCGACCTACCTGACCCAAAAGGCAGATGGCGACTCCCAAAATATTTTAAAAATCATTTATTCACATCACTTTTCCCGCCGAGTAAAGAATTTGTGCCCGGGCGAAAACCGGTTACGACACCTTTCTCTTTATACTCCCAAAATTTTATTTGGCCAATTCCCCCTCTTGTCATTTATTAGTTGATCAATTGAGCTTAATAAATTTCAACAATTAGTATTAGAGCGGGTCACAAATCGATAATTTAACAACCTTGTGAAAAACCTTGAAGCTCTCTATTAATTTCCCGAAGCATCCGAGAACTTCCACTTTTGGTTAATAATACCTTGAGGATTCTCACTCCATCCATAGGCCACCCTACTTTAATGGAGCAAATTATTCCTATTTTAAGAATAGGATGATGTTGTTCATCCAATCGATGAACCATGTGATTTGGGATGCCATTATCGAAGGTTATCTCGTGCCTCCAAGAAATCGAAAGGAGTGGACAAGTGAAGATAGGAAGCTTGCCCAACTCCATGCTAAAGCCATGCACATTCTCTGTTATGCTCTTGGTCCATACGAGTATAGTAGAGTATCTTTAGACTCTAATGCAAAGGAGATTTGGGACAAATTAGAGGTGACCCACGAAGGAACAAGCCAAGTGAAGAAGTCCAAGATTGACATTGTCACCCTCAACTACGAAAACATCAAGATGAAGCTCGATGAAGACATCAAGACTATTTCTGATTAGTTTCCAACGATCATCAATGACTTGAGGAACTTTGAAAAGGTTTATCCCAATGAAGAGATTGTGAGAAAGATGCTTGTCTCATTGCCTTCATCTTGGGAAGTCAAAGCCAATGCCATTGAAAAAGCCAAGGACTTGGAGTTATACATCTTTGATGAGCTCATTGGTTCTTTACTCGCTCATGAGGTGAAACTATAAAGAAATAAAGAAGAATAAAAGAAGAACAATAAGAAGAAAGAGGTGGGAATCGCATTCAATTCCACCAAGGAAAGTAATCAAGACTCAAGTGAAGAGGTGGATGAAGATGAGGATGGCCAAGCTTTTCAAGAAATTCAAATGATTCATGACATCCAAAGAAGATAAGAAGACTGAATCGAGCAAGAAGAAAAGTCCCCCTGTTTGCTTTGAGTGCCAAAGAATAGGACATGTCAAATATTAATGTCCTCTTCTTAAGAAAAATGGGTCAGGTAAAATGAAGGCATTTTTGGTGAATTAGAGTGATGAAGACAACTCTGATGATGAAGTAGCCAATATATGCCTTATAACCATCGAAGAAGATTTAATGGTAACTTATAACTCTTGTGATTTAATTACTTATTCATTTAAAGAGTTACAAGATGCATATGATGAGTTGTATTTTGGAATTTGAGACCATGAATTCAAAATATAAGAAATTAATTTCAAAATTTAAATTTGAAAATGATTTGATTTCGAAAGAAATATTTGATTTTGAAAAACAAAATGAAATTGTGTAAAATGATTTGGAGCTTTCAAAATTTAAAATCAATGATTGGACAATGAAAATTTTGATTTGAAAGTTAAGTCTAAAAGCTTAACAAAAGAAAAAGAATTAATTTCTCAAAACAATTCATCATATTCAAGAATGGAAAAATCCTCACGTTGCCATTTCCATGGTCACATGAAACATACTTGTGCTTTAAAGAAAAGAAAAGAAATTTAAAATTAGACAAGTATGGGTTCCTAAGAGAACAAGGGGCATTGAATATAATGTTCAAGGATTTAAAGAAATTTGGATACCAAAATCCAAATAAATGTCTCTTGTATGTGTGTGTGAGTAACGGTGACAAAATGAAAATAATCAAATGCTCTAGCCACACAAAATGAGGAATGGGTAACCTCTACATTTTTTTAATTTTATATAATTGGTTGCCTATTTGTTTTATGCATGCATGAGTTTTAAACTTAAATGATTATGTGTTATTTTTCTTCTCATGTATGATAAAAAGAATTATGATGAAAATTTTAAAGTTTTAATGATTTTCATAAGTTTTAATGATTTTTCATAAGTTTTAGCTCATCATAATGAATTTTTGGTCAAACTTGGTTTTAATGTCTTTTACAAAATTTAATTTTTGACCTTAATTTAAATGTTTATGCATATGTTTTTATTACAATGATATATCTCTAACAACTGATATCAATTTTTCAAATGCATACCATTTTAGAAAGCTTTATGCATATCAAATTTAAAGTTTTATGTCAATATTCCATAAAGTAGAATAGACTTGGATATATTGAATTTCTTATGTTACTAACATGTTTGTTCATCTTTGTTGAAATTCAATAGTCTTTTAAGTGTCAAGCTTTTAAAGTTAAATTTATATTTGGAATGCATTTGTTGAGAGGAAGCTTTTGATTTTTCAAATGAATTTTATGTTAAAATTACTTCTTACTCTCCATCGTTATTCTTGAACCTTAAAGTCGAATTATTTTTTATATAACAAAAGGAGAAGAACTATGGGTTTGAAAAATTCAATTTCAATAATGGAAGAGGGAGAGCTTTAATATTTTCCAAAATATTTCTCTTTTTCATTAAATGTTTTATTAAAGCGGAGTTTTACCAAAAACCATTTTCAAAGGTTTTTTTATATCAAAAAAGGAGATTGTTGAACCTGTTTTGATATAACAAATTTAAGGGAAAAATATTTTTGGGCTAAATTAAATTTATTCAAAGTTTTTCAAAAATAATTCAAAGTCCAAATAAATTTTAAAAATTTGTTTTAGATGTTTTCTAACTTTGAAAAACTTTTAAATATTGTTTTAAAGCCAAAACTCTTGAAATTAGCCAAAAACCCTGCCATACTTGTGACCATCACCTGTCAGTCTCGAGACAAACATGTCATTCTCGAGATCGAAATTCCAGAACGCTTTTCTTGTATCGGTACCACGTGTTGGTATCGATACTGGAAGGTGAGTATCTATACTCCTTCAAATTGTATCAATACCAAGGGTTCAATGACTATATTTTTTAAATTTTTATGCTTGGTCTCGATACCAACTTACCAGTATCGATACCAAAGTTGTATATAAGTATTTAATGCTTAAAATTAAGGCTTCTAACTGCTCCAAAACATCCTCAATGGCTAGAAATGGCTAGTAATCCATTCCATCATATAAAACCAAGTTGAGAACATTTGAAGAAGGTTACAACACCTATCCAAGCAATCCACATCAAGAGAAAAGCTCTTTCATTCTTATTTTACCTTTTCTCTTGTACATAAGTGTTTTTGTGAGCTTAAATTATAAATTCCTACCTTTTAGAGGTCTTTTTTGTTTACATTTCTTTATCCCTTTGTAAAATGGGTTGTTGTTCTAGTTTAGCCATTGAAAAATAAGGAATTGTAAAAGGTTACTCTTGAGTCTAGAAAAAGAAAGAAGAAATTAGTGAATTTGTTAGAAAATCCTTAGTGTGGAACTAAGGTAATGGATGTAAACCTACTTGAAAAGTTGAACCACTATAAATCGTTGTGCAAATTTCATATTCTTTCTCTCCATACTCCCAAAATATTATTTGGCCAATTCCCCCTCTTGGTACTTTTTCGATTGATCAATTGAGATTCATAAATCCCAACAATGTCAAAGGTTCAATCACTAATATATATGATGTTATTCCATGAATATTATTTCGGGTATTGATTGTCCAATGTTAAGTTATATTGGTATACATTGCCATAGAAGAATTAAATATAGACTATATGCCCAAGTATGTCATTGAGGGTCAGTGGTATAGTTGGTATGCCATAGAGTTTAGTAACAACTGTATATCGGTTTAGCACTAAAGGATACCTAGTGCATATGGTGGGTGCGACCTTATGTTTCATATACGGGTCAGTACTAAAGGATACCTAGTACTAATGGTGGGCACAACCTCATGTGTCATATCGGTTTAGCACTTCGGTGCATATTCGACTCGTGTACCCAGGGTACTCATAGGTTTATATTTTGGGCTATGGTTTATTTGAAATAAACTCTATATATATATATATATATATATATATATATATATATGTTTTATATTATGTAAACATGATGGATAAATAGGTATTGTGATCATATTGCATGGAATAATGATATTTAATTACAAACATGTGATGTATTGCACTGTTTATTATTTTTAGTTGCCTCACTGAGTATATACTAGCGTGTAATGATTTTCACATGTAGGTAAAAAGAAAGCGTAGGATTAAGGAGTATTGAGCAACCCCAAGCATCGAGGAGTATATTCCAGTATCAGTAAGACATTTTTCGAATGTGATATTAACTTAGTTAGTGGCATGTACTTTATAAATGTCCTAGTTGATCTGTTAGACTATGTTTTAGAACTAGTTTGTAATAGTTAAACCAAGACTGTTTTACTATGCAAAGTACCATCTAGTATTAACAGTACGATTATACGTTTTCATATTAAATTATGTTTTAAAATATTATGTTTTGATTTTTCGTGATTAATTATTTTATATTAATAATATTAATCTGGACATGTTTGAAAGAAACAAAACTATACTAGTTTTGGTTTAAGAAATGTTTGAGATAATTGATGTGACATCTTTAACTCATATTACTACATGTATACGGGTTAAGGGTGTTACAAATTACACATCAATGTCTCATAATTATCAAAACTTGCACAATGGTCCTCTTTCTATCTCAAGGTTTTAAATTCATCCAATTCAATCTCCAAAGCATGTAGAATAAATCCAATATCAATTATAGACCATAGGAAATTTCTAAACATTTCCCTTATTATTTTCCCCATGATTGAATCTACTAAAGTAATTAGGGTATACATTTCATTCAATTTAAAGCATGAATTCAAGTTCTTATGATTAAATTCATGTTATTTCACTCATCATAACATCAAATTCAATCAATTCACAATAAACCCTACCTTAGCCAAAAACTTGTATATGTTTCTCTAGATTATTTTAATCATCACTCATGCTTGAAAATTAATCTACAACATCAGTAACATAAAAATAATCCATTAACTCTTCAAAATCCAACATGTTCTTCACCCACCCAATTCATGAAATTCACCATTCAAGTATGATTTCCATGAAATTTTTATACCAAATGATAGAGAATTTAAAGGGGATTAATTTTCTATCTAATACCTTAATAAAAAAATCAACCATGGAAACTTAAAAATCAAATTAAAAATCTCCTTCCCTATATATGGAGGTCACGACACAAGCTTGAAGAAGAGCTGAAAATTTTCTTGATTTTTCTAGCAATTATGGCTAATACACTTAGCTAATTCTAATATAATTGAATTTAAAATTCAACGAATAAGAAATTATCATTTTACCCTTCATGAATCATGATAATGCCAACTTGAAATTGGAATATCTTCTATTTTAATATTCCAAAGTCAAAGATGAACCAATTAAAATTGAATGTTCACCTTTATCCATGTAATTTTTGAAAATTACAATTTAGTTTCCAAATTTCCCAATTTTGACTTAAAATGGAAAATCGACTTTAATTTCACTGATCCATGTTAAATTTCACTTTTATAAAATATGGAAATAAATGTTTCCAACCATTTTCTACCACCCTTCCAATTTTCATAAATTTTCAGTTCGATCCGATTATCTGATTTCTTATCGGATTTTACTACTTTATAGCTTTTAATACAAATCCCACATCAAAAATTCTAATTCCCATGAAAAACTAATTTTGAAATAAACTTTTCATTTATG